GTGCCAGTCCCTTTGAACCCAATTCCCAGGCTACCATGCACCTTGACACCGTCTGTTTCAGCATTGTTCACTTCAGCACCACCCATCCTGGTGCAGTCTATTCCTGCACGGAGAATTGTGGCACCATCGCTGAACTGAGGACCTTTGTAGTACCAGGAGATCTACATGTGACAGCGTACCTGGCATGTCTATTAACCTCCATGGTGCTGAATATTCCCCCCATGGCAGTGACTGACACTGCTACTGGGGTACGTGCCACCAAGTGGTGCCATTGGTACCAGCTAGGACTCATGCTGTGGTGCAATCAAGGCCCTGAATTTGGAGAAGGTGCGTTCCTCCTGTGCGTCTGATTCCCAACAGTGTTATATATTCTGCAAGGTCCCCCATCCCTTTTCAGTCTTATGGGTTGGAAAGTGGGTTGAGCGTGTCTTATATGCCTCAAGGAATAGTAATAAATATTGCCTCACCCATCATGTCTCTCTAATATCCTGGGACTGAAATGGCTACAGCATTCCTCGGTCATAGAAGAGTTATAGATATAGGCATCTGTCCTCCTTGGCTTCCAAGCGCTTTTCCATATAACACTCGCTCCCCTGCACTTCCCCTTGGGTTGGGTAACCTAGCTTGCGATGGGGAGGGAATGGTTAGTAAAAGCTGATTTTGAGGAGAAAGGTGACCAAACCTCACACAGTAATGAGCTTTGTCTCTAGTTAAGCGCCTTCTCTAGCGTAGGAGAAGTGTAAATCTGAATACACTAAGTAAATAGCTTCTTTTAATTCCTTTTTCTGTCTGTCAATAAATCTTGTGTGGGGATTGCAAGCCGTTCCTCCCTAGTGAGGAAAACCCTGCACCCTCCAAGGGGAGGTGTTGAAAGGCATTATGGAGCCCAGACTACCCACTCAGGCTTGGGTAAAGGGTAGGGGCAGGGTTGTCCTGGCTCAGTGAGATGTATTGTAGAAGGCAGGAGACAAGTGGATACAAATCAAAGGGTATTTGGGGCATGAGGGGCTTTTTGCTAGAAGAAAGGATCCCGCCGTGTTTTACGTTTCCTGAATGATTAATTTTTTGTGTCTCTTTCATTTTGGGTCTTTGACACACATGACACCTCATATTTGGGCCCTGCGGGTTGAGAGGTACGGAAGAGAAGGAAGGAACAGGACGGACGTATATGTTTGTGTGTATATACACACACACACACACACACACACACACACACACACACACACACACACTTTCTAAATAAGGAGGCAATTGTGTATTAATTCATTATTTTTGCAGTTATTTATTCCCTTTAAAGTGTAGCTGTAGCATTTCGGCCGGGAAAACACCCCCCGCCCCCATGTTGTACAGCCAAGTCCTACATTTACATTTGTTATAAAGCTAGCATAACTCAAAGGCTTCTTGACCCCAACCAATTGCACCTTCCCAACAAATTTCTAAATACCACAGAAAATGATACTTACAAATGCAGCTCTGGCAGTTACATACATAATGAAATCACAGTTTGAAATGATATATGTGTATGAACAAGGCTGTGCTTGGATTTAATTTGTAATACTGAGCATTCTATTCCCATCATTTTAATACGCTGCTCTTAAAGTACCTTGCACTTTTTGGTCTTCCAAAACAAAACAAAACGCGGGGGGTGGGGAATCAGTGGCTTAATTTAAAATATTGAATAGTATTTGAGCGCTGTAACTTCCCACACTACCTATATACAATACAATGCTAGTGATCATATTACTGACAGTAACGAACCGAATGCAATGTGCTTGCATTTTAATTATGTAACACAGAAGACCCATACAGGGGCTTCAGCAGCAAGGATCAAACCTGGGACCTCTGGAGCTAAACGACAAATGTCTGTTATCCAAGGCTGTAGCAGGCTCATGAATCTCTAGGTGGCTTAGCCACCACTAGAGGGGGACAGAGCACCACTTCCATCAAGCAGGGGTTACAATTTCATATACATTTCTCAGTGTTTTTAAGTTATAATTGACTCAGTGCAAAGGCACCTCGTTTAAGTTATATATTTGGTACTTTTATTTTTGCATCAGATGTACTTATTGCTTTAAATGGTTCCAAACCACTGAGGCTTGTGCCTTCAGTCCTTACAGAGGTAAAGCGCCCACAGAGGGCAAGACATCACGATTTACTGACCTCAAAGCCAACTGGAGGTTTGCTGCTGATGGCAGCAGGAACAGACCCTCAAATTCCACACACACCTCTCCTCATACAAGTACATGAATGTCCCTGGGATTATGTGCATGGAGTGAACAGGGTTTGGGCCAAAGGGCCTTGTCTTTGCCCTCCCCCAGCACAGAGTATTTTAGCTTTATCTTTGCTGTAGAATGTAGCACCAAAAGAATTCTAGCACCAGCTCAGAGATTGGTATTTCCTCCCTAGCATTATTATTGTGTTATTTGTATTACTGTAACACCTCAAGGTCCCAACTGAGATCAGCATCCCATTGTGCTAGGGCACTGTATAAACAGATAGCAAGAGGCAGTCCTGCCTCAAAGAGCTTACAGTCTAAATTAACTAGACAGACAAAGCATAGAGAATAAGATTCCTCTTGTTCCTATTTCACAGATGGGGCAATTGAGGCACAGAGTGATTAAGTGACTTGTCAAAGGATGCTTGTGGCAGAGGCAGGAAGTGAACCCAGATGTCCTCAGTCTTACACCCCAAGGTTAATCTTTCTCTTGAAAGTATATTAGGAGAAGGTCTCCATCTCAAACCACAACTGGAGTTTACCTGCTTCCATTGTTATTCTCTCAGTTGGAGTTCTGGTACAAATGAAACACAGAATTGTCTTGACAAAAGCTCTGTGGCTGATAGGCATTCACTTCACTTGAGAACAGCCATATCCTGGAGATGATGGGCGTGTATCAGTTCACAATCGCATCTTTCAGCCATTGATGTAAACAGTGCGTCCCATCCACAGCCAACAGTTCATTCTGGCATCTCTAATGTTTAGCTAATCACAACATGAAAAAAAGTGAAACAAATGCACCCTGGAGCATGATTCTGGTTATGTTATATCCTTTGATCCTTTTGCCTGGTCCTCTTTTTGCCATTGTAAGTGTCTAGGAAAATGCATTATGGTGCACTACATAGGTGTGTGTATATATCCACAAACAAGTGCCCAGTGTTATGTACATAGGTTTACAGATTAGCCTGAATCAGAACACTAGATTCAAACTCTCTCAGACTTTGGGAAAGTTTAGCTCCTGATCTCCACTTCATAGCTCAGGTACAGCTAGTGCGAGAGATGACCTGGAAGCATAGACGCAAACCTCTTCACCCTTTGGAGGCCTTTGGATCAGGGCTCAACTTCTTGGCTCTGGCCACTCTGCGTTATAGAGTGTTAAGTGGAAAAATGCATGCTCATGTGGGTGTGGTATGAAGGTTCATGAGCATTGATTTGGGATGATTGGCACAACTCACACCCCCTGTCCCCCAGCTCCCCCGGACAGCAGCCCTTGCAGTCACTGACTTCTAGGACTCTGACATTCCTTGGCCCCTGGATGTTTCATGGGGGGTGGCGGGGTTGTGTGGCTCTTTGCACCTGCTCCTCAGCTAGTGCACCCAGGCAGGAGTCAGGTGCAAGCGGGTTAGTTTTCTGGAGCTTGTCTACACTAGAAATGCCACAGCAGCACTACTACAAATACTGCCTACGCTGCTGGGAGGGGTTATCCCATCGGCGGAGGGAATCCAACTCCCCGACAGGTGAAGTCTGGAAGAATGGACAAATTCTTTTGTCAACCTAATGTTGTCTACACTGGGGGGGTTAGGTCAGCATAACACCGCTCAGGGGTGTGGCTTTTTCACAACCCTGAGCGACATAGTTAAGCCAAGAATTTTCTAGTGTAGACCAGGCCACAGTGAAGCCTCAGAAAGAACTAATAGCGGGGTCTATATATTGAGGAATGACTGACTGTTAAGGAGAACTGAGATTGGGGCTAATCCTCACTTCCTGATACAAATGTATGGACCAGTTGTCCCAGAAGAACACCTATTGCAGGGCACTGAGAGTTTTTCCTGAATAAGGGTTAAGTAAAAGTAAGTGCATCAGGATTGAGCCCAGTGAAAAGCCAGCAGCAGCACCTCAGCTGGTGTAGCCTGGTATAGCTCCATCAATCTGGCTGAAGGATCTGCCCCAGCAGCTCCGGCTGGGATTTGCAGTGGGTTGGGGGCCAGATTTTGTTTAAAGGTATTTAACTGCCTAGCTCCCATTGATTTCATTGGGAATTAGGCACCTAAATATCTTTTAAAATCTGGCCCTTGGAAGTCACCTCTTCAAATACAGACAGGCTATAAGGAACTCGAATCACAGAGAGGGTAGGGACTGATAGCTTAAGTAATCATGGTGCTGTGGACAAGGAGATGGCGAAAACTGTCTGAGGCAATAGAGACACCTCCCCAGCAGAAAGGTTATAAAAGGTTAGCAGCAGGGCAGTGAGAAGGAGAAAGAGAGAAGTTACAGGGATATGCTTTGAACTGAGATGCTCTAGAGAGTCCCAGAAAAGTCTCTCCTCTGAATGTCTTTCTAAGTGCAATATTCATCCCAGTTTTTAATTTGTGTCCACAGTTTTTTTTTCCCTAAGTGCAATTTATTTCTAGTTATAAAATATTATTTACATAGGAATTGCATCAACTGGACACTATGGCTAGGATTTACAGATTTGGCATTGAGGATGAGATTTTTTTTCCCCTCTGGCTAAACTACCTTGGCCTATTCACACTCTGTCATTTATAGCCAGATGCAGAGAGACTGTTGACAAACGAATGCAAAAGACATGAACTGCTGCAATATACGAGAGTTCTCTAAAATCCCTGGTGTATTGGGACTGGAAGTCAGGGCTAGAGCATGCGCCAATGACGGACATTGTTGCCTGGAATGTTAGTAACTGGCCTTTTCTTCTCTCCGCCAGTATTTGGGCTTTCCACCACCTTTGCAAATTTAAAATAAAAATCTATTTAAAATTCTCCAAGCAACAGCCAGCAGCCAATGCAGCTGTGAAGCCTGGGTCAAAACATTTTCCACTCCATTCATGTACACTCATCAGTGGAGTGGATAATAATGTGATGAACCAGATTCTCCCATAGGCTATGCCGTCTTTACACTAGACTGGAAGTGTAATGTGGGTATAAATTACATTTACTCACAGTTGCTCCAAAAGCCCTCCATGTAAATGAGAACCGGCTTTGAAGAGTTTAGCCTTGCCTCCCGCCCCCGGAGACTGCTTTACCACGTTATATCCGAATTTGTGTTATATCGGGTCACGTTATATCGAGGTAGAGGTGTAGTATGTACTAATTCCCCTAGCCTATATGCACCCTTTGGGCATTAAACTGCTGGCACAATGCATGTCTTTGATGCTCTTTTAACATGTTCACCATCCCTGGTGCACCAATGCCAACAGGCAGGTTATTTAAGTCATGACATCTGAGCAACGTGGCTCAATAGATACATTTGATCATATAGGCACTAACAATGAAGGGGAACCTCTGGCCCTCATTAATGGACGGAAGTCTGCTATAGCGGAAAATCCTGCCTGTTTAAAAGTCTCTAAATATAGTAGGATAAACAAAGGTAACTTAATCCTGACTTTGAGAAACAAATGTTACATTGGCACTGGATGGAAGATTCTCCTTTATTTTAAAACCTCTGTAAAATCAGAGCAGTGGTTCACCCCAGCATTTGGCCAATTTAATTCGCTATTTCAGAGTAATCGTGGTAATGTGCCAAGTCAGCAAAGATGTCATTAGGGTTCTTGCAACTCAGGTTGCAAAAGCAGGCATTGATCCACATGATTTTCTGGAAAAATCCAGTTCCATCTCGGCACTCAAACCTCACTTCAATAGTCTTCGACTTGTACGGAGAGCAGCACCTGTTGTCTGTGCAGACACCACAGTATTTTGGCCTGTATGTACTTTTGCTCACGCAGCCCGATATGGTGTAGTTCATTGGTTCATCTGCCCTATACACGGCCAAGCATTTCTTCCCAGGCTAGATTGGGAGAGAGGACAGAAAGAGAGGCAAAGATTAATTTTCATTGCTTGGTACTCCCAGATACTACTTTGTCCCCCGTAGGCAGCACTTCCCTGAGGGTGGCAATAAAGATGGTCAAAAATAGAAAACAATTAGTGAAAAATATTGACATTTCCAAATGGTTTCAAATTCACAGGATTCAAAACAAGTTTGCATTTCAAATATGTTTTTTTAAAAATTCCAATTTTTAAAATTTCTTTTTCTCACCCATCCCCCAGAGTGTGATGAAATGAATAATGCCTATGGTTCATTTCTTTTCGTTTTTTCATTTTTTCCCCCTTTCTTTTTCCACTCTAATTTTTCTAAACTTCTTCTACTTTGGAAAAGTGACCGATTTATTTATTTTTGCTTCTCAGATACTTTTCCAAAGTTGGAGAAATTTTGAAAAGTTCAAGTAGGAAAAGGAAAACATGAAGAGACAAAAAAGAAACTCAACATCTCAACTCTCCTCATTTTGAACATTTTTCAGCTTTTGAAAAAACAAAATTTGAGTCAAAGCTAAACAAGCATTTGTTTCATTTCAGATTTTCCCACAGAAAACAATTGAAAAATTTAGTCAAAGTATTTTTTGTCATGAAAAAACTAGCTTTTGATAAAAAGCAATGGGAAAATGTCTCCTACTGATACATTTCTACCAACTTTAAGTAGCAGAGTGAGGTTAGCATTGCCATACCAAATACCGCCCTATGCAGAGAGCCAACACCCTTTAAATCCTGCATAAGCCCTCATTTCAACATATGGACATAGGTACTTGCCGATGGTTGCATGTTTTTTGCAACATTTCTCAAGAAAAAAAAGCACATATTTTGTTTCAAGCCGTTTTAAGGCCCAAAGATCTAGCTGCTCAAAAGTTGTTCACAGAGCATAAAAATCTTTCCATGTGTTATTACAAAGACAAATCAAAGGGAAAGTCTTCAGTGATGAAATGCTGACATTTCCTGCTGAAAACTAGGGCTATACCCCTTGAGTGTGAAAAAAAATATTCACCGCTCGTTTTGATTTTCACAACACAGAAAAATCAAAGTAAAATGTAAAATCCCCTCTAATTTCGACTTTTAATTCCATCGTGCCCCCCCACCCCACCACTTTCTCACAGAATATTCCACACACCTGTCTCTTGCAGGTGCTCCAGATTTACGTGCATAGACTTACAAACTCACTCGTGACAAGCTGGATGCTTCCAAATGGCAGAGCTTACACCAGTGGTTCTCAGCCTATTATATGCAGATGTCTGTGTGTTATGTGGGCTGCACCCACACAATATATACACTACTTGTAGGGCCCTGAGGATGTCACATGGGCCGCAGCTGTGTGTGATTGGTCTGTGGGTTGAGAACCACTGGTTTACGCCTACAGAGAGCATTGCATCACCACTTTCCTGCTAGCCCAGTCACAGGCACATCTGAACGAGTGGCTGGCATGCTGCTGTCATCTGTAGGGAGTTCCTGGCAGCCATCTTCCCCCAGTGGGAGTTATTTCCATCCTGCAATGGAAGAATGGGGTCCCTACTGGTCCAGGGAGGAGAAATTACACCTATTTGCACCAGCCAGAGTGTATTTAGGCCACAGGCTGCAACTGCTAATCAGCAGGTCGGTGTTTCCTTATTCCTCATCCCATTCATTGTCAGAAGATCCACCTTATTATTACGCTCTCCAGCAAGTAGCTCTCAGTGCCCCGCTCCTGGGCAGGGAGGGGCGACCAATCAGCGAACTAACAGGTGAGCAGTGAAATGGGCCCACCTTAATGTGTTTGGTTATATCCACCTCGCAGGGCCGCAAGTTGCAGAGGCGACTCTCTTTCAGGAGCCGGCACTGGTCATTGTCATTGGAAATTCTCGTCGAGATCCCCAGCCCGCAGGTTTTCGAGCAGAGGCTCCAGGGTGAGGTGTGAATGATGCAGTTTTTCTGCCAGGATTCATTCTCTCCTTCGTAAGCTACAGACCAAATGCATATGATATCAATTTACCCCACAAACATCCTTTCTAAGGCTCATTCTAACTGCCAGGCCAATACACTGAATGACAATTAAATCAAATGGAAAGGGCTCCATTTTCCTGCTCTGCTCTGTTTGTTCATCCCAGGTGACCTCCTAGATTGTGATGCTTTGGGACAAGGGTTGCCTCCTTTATTTGCCTGTATAGTACTTAGCACAATAGGGCCCTGGTCCTAGACTGGGGCTCCCACATTCTGCCACAATACGAACAATTAACAATGGAAACACGCACCAGTCAGTGTAGGAGTGAGATGAGATTTGAGCTTATTGTGAAAGTTTATTTCTGTACCGATTCAGCTGACTCAGGGAATGGTCCGCAGTCTTTGTGGAGGGCTGGTGTAGCCCAGAGCTTTTCATTTGTAGATAGGGCTGAGGGAATAGTCCATAGAGAACTTGGAAGGCACTCAGATTTATGGTGGGCTCAGGGTTTAATGTATTCGCAACCCTTAGCTCAGGTTTCCACGCACTTTGCAGAACTGGGGCTGGTCTTATCTGTAATACAGTACAGCCTCCAGGCCCCAACAGAGAGAGAAGCCCCATTGTGCTGTACAAACACAAAGTAAGAGACAGTCCCTGCCCTGATGAATGTATTTTCTAAATAGACAAGACAGACAAAGGAAGGCTGTATTAGGAGAACTAAGTGACTTGTCCAAGGCCACACAAGGAGTCGGACAGAGGCAGGATTTGAACCTAGATCTAGAGACCCATCCAGGACCTTAATCACACTTTTTTGGGGTTCAAGGTTGTTTGATGAAAAGGAAGGACACTAGTCTAATCCATAGGAAACCTGGGCTCAAGTCCTTGCTCCACCACAGACTTCCTGTGTGACCTTCAGCAAGTCCCTTAGCCTCTCTGTGCCTCAGTTCTCCATCTGTACAATGGGGATAATAGCACTATGCTACCTCATTGGGTGTTATGAGGATAAATACACTACTAAAGACGGTGAGGCATCCAGCTGCCATGTTAATGGGGGTTATCAGTACCTAAGGGAGCTTTGGGCAGTCACCTCTCCACCTGTTTTCTCAGCTAACATGCTATAGCTGGTGCTCGTACAATCCAGCCTATTATGGCAGGATGCTCCATGCACTCCAGAGAGCAGGTTAGTCAGACATGGTGATGTTGCAATGCAATGGGAGTGCGGCACACTACACTGCTTCATGTGGCAGTAGCAGAATGCAGTACCACAAGGGTTAATTGGAGGGGGGAGCTCTGTACTGCAGTTTGGACCCACGCTGTCCTGAAGTCTAGGGGGAGTTCAGATTATGGGGTGTACGCTAGGCCAATATAGTGATGGGCACCAATCCCAATCCAGATTGTCTCAAAATTCAAGGCTGCATGGCTTTGGAATGGGCCTGTTTCCGGGTATGTCTACACTGGAGTTGGAGGTGTAATTTCTGATGGAGCTCGTGTGCTAAGAATTGGTGTGCAGCCATGGCAGTGCGAGCGGCGGGAGGGGCTAGTTGCACCTGGACGATTCTGCCCAAGACCCTAGGCCCCTGTGTTGACAAACTCTTGGATTCAGATGCCTAAGCGTGAATGTGACATGGGCAGAGTTAAATGAGGAAGAGGTCTGTTGCACTTTCCCCGTGCTAGAAGTATTAGCTTCAGTGACCGCTCCCCTTTTCCCCTCCCCCCTCTTTTGCTGGGGTGAATGCAATTGTCAGTAGCACTTGGGCATTTTGCAGAAACCTGTCCAGCAGCTGTGCTACAGGGTTTGAACACAGCAGTGGCCTGCACGTAACCCACTCTGCAGGGTGAGTTACACAGCACTCTCTCTGCCTGATTCACAGAGGATAGGAACCTGCTGCAGCTACCAACTAGTTCACGCTGCAGAGGCTGGCAGTCCCGGGTTCCATTCCCCGTGATGACCAAGGCGATGCCCATTAACCACACACACACACACTCTACCTGCGGAGGAGATATGTCGTGGAGATGTCTTCCTGATCTTCTTTGAGTCATCACAGATCCACTGCTCGCAGCACTTGCCTGCTATCTTAATTTGCTTTGGGTTTGGGCACCAGACGAGCGGGGGGCGGGAGCTGGTGCACAATGGCAGGCAGCCCACAGCCCCATTAATGCATGTGCAATTGTACTTGCAATTGGGCTGGAAGGTCTCTCCGTTCTTATACCGGATTCCATTAAGGACACAGCCCACGCCCATAATTTCTAAAAGGGGGGGGGGGCGGGGAAGAGAGAGAGAGAGAGAGAGAGAAAGAGAGAGAAAGAGAGAAAACACCTTGAAGATCATGAACGGTATTCAGAATAACAAGTTTTTTTAATGGGGAACTCCCCAGACTGACAGGGACAAAATTTACGTGCCAGCACTATTCTGCTGCAGAACAAAGCAGGTCCATATAATTTTAGGCCTTATTATTACTAATAGGGTAGCTCCCCCTTATGAAGCATGAATGTGGCAGTTTCCTTCTCAGAGATCTGAACAACGTATTTTATTCCTTGTTGGATCTGCCAGGAGTCACATATGCAGCCACGGAGCTTTTCTTTGAGGTTCAAGTTCCCTTTACAAACAAGCAAACAGACACAAAAGGACTGTAATAATGATCCAGAAAATTGCAGCTTAGAACTGCAAAGTTTGGGGCTGTGACTGTTGAGTGCTCTATTATTTTATAGGACGTGAAGGAATTCCCAAACTGAGAGCCGGGAACAATAGAACTGCTGAGTTTTACCTGGCCTCGTGAATGCTCCGCGCAGCTCTTACAGAAACAAATCAACACAGATGCTCTCGGAAACAGGGCAAAATTCTGAGTTTGCAATGAAAAGCAGACTTAGGCACGTTGTGGGAGATCTCTCATTCTGTAATGAAGGCTAGCTCTACAAGGCTCTGATCGGAATCAATTGGCAGTCAGGAGCTTGTAATAGCACGTTAAAGCTGCAATTTCATAATTAGTCACAGGGAGGCAGTGTGCTACATAAAGCATTGCTGTCTCCCTTCTATTCTCTTCATTGATGAAGATATTCTTGCTTTGGAACTATCACACAGTTTTAATGTTGGTTAAAGATGGGCCTGAACCAAACCTCACTTCAACTGCCAGGTGATTTGAAACTTTAGATTCACATTTTGCAAAAGCCTCTTATTTTTAGAATGGATTGAACAAAATCCCTGAATCCAACGTCCCCGGTCCCCCCTCAATTTGAGTTGTTTGAAATCCAAATGCAGATTCAAAATGCTGTGTCCTGTGCCCACCTGCAGTTCTGAAGAGGGTGTGTTTGAGTGAGAGCACAGAGACAAAACTCAGACAGAGAATTCCAGTGATATGCTGCAATCCTTGCATACACACTATCGGGGAGCAAGTCCGTGGTTTCAATTTGCTGGGGGATTTGTTGCAAACCTTTCCCCCCGATTTAAGCTCACACCACCCTGTACCCCTCACACTGAGAGCTTCATTTGGACTGATCCCAAAGCTCAAACAGAAAAACCCATCCAAACCCTCAGAATCGTGAAGGTTTTGACTTGAAACCACACACAGTCACTGCGTTTTCCATAGGTTTCATCCCAAACCTCAAACTCATCCCAACACCCGTATATCTCCTTCAGGTGTTATATTATTATAAGATTATACTATATACATTGGACGGACATGACTGATCAGATGCATAATACTCTCAATGAGCAGGGACAGGCGCTGCCGCTGAATAAGGAGCTCTGCATGGCCTTTGCGTAAAATGGCCGATTCCTGGAACGTGCTGAGTGCGGTTAGTCCCCAGGGCCCCCAGTTCTCTGCAGGATCGGTCCCCAAGTGTGTTTGCTGAAATGCATGGCGAATGGGTAGACAATCCCAAATAAGGAAGCAAGTGCCTTGAGAGCAGGGAAGGAGCCTGAAAGCCCTTAAGGGAACTGCCACATGAGAAACAGCTGTGTCCTAATCTCCTTGGTCAGCAGGAGACCCCTAACCTCCCTCTGCCTGGCCAGCCTCAGGGTTTGTAGGGTCCCTTGTGAGACTTGAACTGGGACCTCAATGTGCCAAGGGTGAGGAATCAGGCCAAGAGATGACTGCCTCTCTGGTCCTCTTGGCAGGGCAACAGGCTGCATTCCCCTTTGGGCCCCACTGGCTGGGATGAGCAGCGGGTCTCCCTGTGGCCCAGAGTCCCAAGCATGCACCTGTATTGCTTCAGTTTGAAGCCAGCTATGTGTATCTGCTAGCCAGTCAAGACATCTTCTCTGCCTACTCAACACACTGAGCGTCACCTGCTGTTCCAGGTAATGCAAGAGCATACGGCTGCAAATCGGAGGGTAGGACTGGGCCTCCAAATGCTGTGTCCTTCTTACTCCTGACCACAGCCAACTCAAAGAGCAAGACCCCTATGGTCACCTCTCAACTGTCCAACAGGCTGGAGGACCAGCAGATCTTTTTCAGGGGCAGGGAGAATGGAATGTTTACAGTCAAGTATATCTTGACTTTAGTAAGGCTTTTGATACTGTCTCGCATGACCTGCTCATAACAAACTAGGCAAATACAGCCTAGATGGAGCTTCTATAAGGTGGGTGCATAACTGGTTGGAGCACCATTCCCAGAGAGTAGCTATCAGTGGTTCACAGTCAAGCTGGAAGGCCATATCGAGAGGGGTCCTGCAGGGATTAGTCCTGAGTCCGGTTCTGTTCAATATCTTCATCAATGATTTAGATAATGGCATGAGAGTACACTTATAAAGTTTGCGGATGATACCAAGCTGGCAAGGGTTGCAAGTGCTTTAGAGGACAGGATTAAAATTCAAAATGATGTGGACAAACTGGAGAAATGGTCTCTGGGGGGGAGGAGAGATGCGGACAAAGGCCAGGGTGCAGGGCCGGCTTTAGGAAGTGCGGGGCCCGATTTGAACAGTTTCGACGGCCCCCCGACAGGGATGACTTAAAAAAAAACCACGTAAAAACAACATGTGGGGCTTGTACTCACCGGGCCGTGCTCCTAGTCTTTGGCGGTGTGTCCTTCACTCGCTCCGGGTCTTCGGTGGCACTGAAGGACCCGCCGCCAAAGTGCCACCAAAGACCCGGAGCGAGTGAAGGACCCGCCGCCAAAGTGCCACCAAAGACCCGGAACGCCGCCGGGTGAGTAAAAATTAAAAAGGCACCTCTAGCCAAGGAAGGGATTCTCTGCCACTTGCCCCCCACTCTGGGTGGCCCTGCCACTGGGCGCGGGGCCCTCTTAGGCGCGGGGCCCGATTTGGGGGAATTGGTGGAATTGGCCTAAAGCCGGCCCTGCCAGGGTGGAAACGCAAGGTAAAAAGTCTGGGGACCACTGCGTTAACCTCTGAGGCTAGGACAAGAAGCAATGGGCTTAAATTGCAGCAAGGGAAGTTTAGGTTGGACATTAGGAAAAACTTCCTAACTGTCAGGGTTGTTGAGCACTTGGACAAATTGCCTGGGGAGGTTGTGGAATCTCTGTCATTGGAGGTTTTTAAGAACAGGTTAGACAAACACCTGTCAGGAATGGTCTAGTTATTACGTAGTCCTGCCTTGAGTGCAGGGGAATGGACTAGATGACCTACTTCCAGTCCTACACTTCTATGATTCTATGTTAATAGACAAGTCTTGGGTACATTCAGAGCAATAGAAGCTGCCAATGCTATTTATCTAAGCCAAAAATATATGTACATCACTTACGTGCACATACTCCTATTTCGTACCTAGGTCTGTCTCCACTGTAGTCACAGTACAAGCCCCTATGGAAGTCACAGGTATCAGCCTCCGTGCAGTTCTCTCCAATCTGTTTGGCACACGCCTTGCAGCACTCGCAGCCGTCAGTGATCAGGCTGACCCCTGCTGGGCACCGAGGTGGCCACGTGGGACACTCGCATGGCCACTTACAGTACTGAGTCCGTGTGTAGCCCTCAGTCACGACGGTGACAGCAGGGGGCATGGTGGTGGAGTCCTGGGACACAGCCTACAAACGAACAAACAAGGCTCACAGTCCTTTCAGGAAGGGCTTTGAAAGGTTTATCCACTAATTAACCCATGTCAAGTTCAAAGGGACCGAGAAGGAATGACGGGATCACAGCAAACAGCTATGGAGGTGGACCTCATTTGGAGAGCAGCCACCTCCCTCTTGTTGTGTAATCTCCATCACCAGCCTTGGGTAGAGGGTCAGGAGTTTGGAGAAGCACCCAGCTTGGATGGCCTTATCTGAGTGATGCTCAGCCTTTTCCACATTGAGATGCTTCTCCGACCCAGCTGGGATGTCTCTCCATTTAGCAATTGGGGGAGGGCAAAGAGGTTGTGACCCCCTGACACCTCTTCATGATCTGAAGATCAAGGAGCCCTGGCTTATATTAAACTCCTGGTCTCCTGGGATCCCTGCCATTTTTCATTTACAGTAAAGCTTCAAATTTCCCCTTGTACAGTATTTCAAGACTTCAGCCTCCAATACTGACCCACCGTGGGAAGTGCATTGGCTAGCGAGAGGGGAAGATATGTTCATTAGTTCTCGGTTACCCAAACATTTGGTTCTTGTTTTACCACGCTGGTTCGCCCATGCTGGTCCATGAATTCTTAGCTCCTCTCCCTCCCAGCCCCCGTCCCAATTGTAAAACAAGTCACAGACAATCAAATTCCTTGGCAGCATCCCACATCTATGCGGCTTTGATTTACTCTTGCTGTAACATTTACTTTAAACCCTATGGGTGGGCTCCATGAAGGTACGTAAGTCCCATTGATAGACACCACTGCGATCCACAAAACTCTGCTTGTGCTGCTACTTGGCACCCAAGTTTTTCCTCTGGGAATGCCTGGGTGCCTATCTCCTGCCTGAGCATGCGCACTGCTGCCTCACTCTAGGTATCCAGACCTATCTCCCACCTGAGCCCCAGAGCTATTCATAAGCCAGGAAAGATGGGTGTTTGGCCAGTGAAGTAACATGCAGGGGCCCAACCTGGTAGGCAGACAACCCCCATCAGAGCCTTTAGCCCAGTGGGTAGGGTACCCAGCCAGGATGTGGGAGACCTCCCCCCCCCCCAGTTCAAGTCTCCTCTCTTCCAGAGGGGGCGAAGGGATTTGAACTGGGCTCTACCACACCTCAAGTGAGTGCCCTAGCCATGGGGGCTATAAGATATTCTGGTGTAGGGCTTCCTCACTCTTTCCTATTAAAGCTGTTCCACTTTAGCTAAACAAGTCAACAATTACATATCATTTGGGCCAGTGAAAATGACTCTGTAGGCCAGTCGTTAGAGCACTAACTCCCTTTTTCCCCAGAGAAAGAAGGACTAGAACTGGGAGTCACCCACATCCTAGGTGAGCACCCTACCACTGGGCTAACGGCTATACAGGACGCTGTTCACCACCCCCACTGTTTTGTTTTGGGTCCCTCACACAACTTGGGTGGCCAAGCGCCTGTCTTCCCCTGATTCAGGGGAGGCACCTCCCTGCAGCCTGGGCTTAGGCGCCTAGCTGCATGCGAGGGGTGGGGCTTAGTAGACCGTGATGGCTTTGTGGAGCGCAGTCTGAGAGGCCTGTCTCTCCCCATTCCTTGTATAGGGAGCCTCGCTGCCTGACTCAGGCTTTGTGGATTACAGTGGTTTCCTGTGATTCCTTTTGTGGAGCTGGGCCTGTGTGACTTAAACCCTTATTCATCCGTGTCAGTGTCAAAAATACCATAGGTGTATTGCAGCCATCTCTGCCAAGTTGTGATTCACACTGAAGTCAGGTTGCTGTCACAATTGCATATTCCTTTTTGATGGGCTCTTGAGGCACTCACACTGCACCTGATGTTGCCTTGTTTTCTCTTTTCCCCCTAAGGCTCCACAAACAGCCGTTGGGACATTAAAGAGGTGAGCATCAGCCCCTGCCTCTTGGCACCTGGGTGAAATGCCCTGCACGTTGGAATAGACAAGTATCATTGTTTGGAGAGCTCCCCAAGTTACTGGGAATACGCAGACCTCCCAAAATGGGGCATGCTGAGGCAACAGATCGTGCAGTGAAGGTGCTGCCAGGGTTCCATTTCCCAACCTCCCCCTCTCTTACAGGTAAGAGTTGAACCAATATCCTGTGAGTGTGTAAAACCGAGAGTCTGTAAGCCTTCCTACAGCCAAGGAGAGGAGGGTGACATCGCTTTCCTCAAGCAGGAGAGAGGATGGGGTATGGAAGAGATGGGTGTAAATCTCGACACTGCTCTATTATATAATGATGTCTCACTGCAGTAATGTATTAATGTAACCTCACATTGCAATGCGATATCTGGTTGTCCCGAGAGTATGGAGAGGCCCTCGGCTACTACAGTACTTGAATGTTTCCTCAGCTGTTACAAGGTGGAAGATCACTGCACTAAGGTACTCAAGACAGAATCAGAACAGGAGACAGTCAATGAAGAGACTATGAAAAAGTGTTTGTGCTGCAAAGTTAAGCCTTGAGAGATGGCTGCATGGCGCATTAAGGGCCGCTGTCCCACAGAACTCTAATGACAAGTATCTAATATATCCCAGCCCGCTGTACTTTCCATTTGAAAAGACATATTAATTACCACTATTACCAATGATGGCAATTCCAAATCCCAGCCAACCCTTTGGTAAGGAAATTCTGCACAGCTGTCTGGGCCTACAGATTGCTCTCTTCCTTGCTCTACAACTTACTGATCTCAGCGAGTTGCCTTCTCAAACAGCCCGTTGGCATCCGCCTGCTCAGTTCTCTTCTGTTTCATCACTACACATGGTGGCTTTGTAAAAACGTCTCCCACCAATCAGAACTGGACAAGCTTCACTGGGCCTGGCTCTTAGTGGCCTCTAAACCCAGCCTCCATTTGTGCACATGCCAATCTGCAAACGCTTTCCAAGCAGCTCAACACACAAATGCGCTGTTGGAAAAGTGCGTGCATGTGCACAGAACGTCACTGGCACAAGGGAAGGGCAGGGTAAGGAAACCAGACACTTGTGCCCATCTAGCCCAGTCCCGTACCCAGGCAGGATTGTTCCCTACGTATATTCCTGTTTCAAATGCCTCAGGTACAGCTGACTGAAAAAGTTTTGTTAAAAAAATTCCCAATCAGAAAATGCCAATTTGGCAAAACGGAACCTTGCTGCGGAAAGGGTCAGTTTTGATGAATTTCTCAAGTTTCAAAACTGTGGAAACAAAAACTTCCTTTTCCCCCTCCCCCCCCTTTTTCTGGTTCACAATCACTTTTTGTTTCGAAATTAAAGCTAAACCATTGGGGCTTTTAAAATTGAAATAAAAAAACTTATCAATTGACCAGAACCACTTTTTTTTTTTTTTTTTTTAAACCCTTCAGAATGTTAGTTCACAGAAGTTTGAGATTTGGACTTTTCATCCCAATCTGGAAGGGAAAAAATTTCAAAATCTCAAAAATGTTCATGGGAGGGGAAAACTATTTCCCCAACCAGCCCTAGCTTTAAGTAATGGATCGTCCACTACTCCTCTAGAGGCAGACAATCCCACAGCTAAAGCCATCTCACTGTTTGGAGAGTTTCCTCAAGAGTAACACCAGACTCTCCTGTCCCTTGCATCTCATTACTCCACATTATGGACTTTGGCCCACCCTCAGCAAGTCTTTTCTCGCTTTGGGATAATTTGTTTGCCAGGGTAGCCTGTTCATGATCTCAAGATTTATTAAACACTTATAAGTCTGTTGTAGATACATGTGAATATACATATACGTATCTAAGGCTAGGTCTACACTACGGGGAGGGGGGGGAATCGACCTAAGATACGCAACTTCAGCTACGTGAATAGTGTAGCTGAAGTTGCGTATTTTAGGTCGACTTACCTGGCTGTGAGGACGGCGGCGAGTCGACCGCTGCCGTGCCGCCGTCGACTCCGCTTCCGCCTCTTGTCGCGGTGGATTTCCGGAGTCGACGGCAGAGCCATCGGGGATCGATTTTATCGCGTCTTCACTAGACGCGATAAGTCGATCCCCAATAGATTGATTGCTACCCGCCGATCCGGCGGGTAGTGAAGACGTGCCCTTAGATGTTAGTTACACTTTATTTAGAGGCCCAGTTAACACATCACTAATCACAGTCAATATATGTAATGTATTTGCTCTGGGCCCAATTCCCATTTCTACTAACATCCCTTTACACTGCTCTGCTCTTAGAGTTGGTATAAATTACATTTAAACCCATGCAAATAAAATACAAAATACGCCGGAGTGGCATCAAAGCAAAAATGAAAAAACAAAACAAAGCAGGCCCTTTACTTTAGCATTGCCTATTCCAACCTGCATAGTTTCAATATGTACAGCAAGCTATCAAAAATCCTTTCAAATGAGATAAGTCTATTTGCATTGTTGTTAATCATTGGAACTGTTAATGGTCACATCCAGATATGAAAAGAACCGATACAGCAATTCAATGAGTGCATTATCACAGCACAACCCTATAAGCAAATGCATTTGCAGCGAATTGCTGGTTTAGACAAGAGTGAGCCAGCAGATTGGCTGACAAAGGTTTCATCCTGTGCAGCTATGAAACTACAGCTCAGTCAACATAAATAGCAAAGGGGAAAACAAACCTCAAACCATAGTTCTGCTGGTTTTAGTTCATAGAAGATCATTTTTATGTTATAATTTGTGCACGCCCCCTCTCTTTGTCCCCCACAGCGGGGCATTAAAAATGTCCACCTCTGACAATAGGTATCACACAGTGGCATCATAGTTTCTGGCCATCCTTAGGATAGGAAATAACTGGGGTGGCTCCTAGCATCAGGTGTGGAGCTGAAGCATATGTACACCTCTACCCCAATAGAACGCTGTCCTCGGGAGCCAAAAAATCTTACCAAGTTATAGGTGAAACCGCGTTATATCGAACTTGCTTTGATCCGCCAGAGTGCGCAGCCCTGCCCTCCTGGAACGCTGCTTTACCGTGTTATATCCGAATTCGTGTTGTATCGGGTCGCGTTATATCGGGGTAGAGGTGTAGTTGTTTGCTCAGATGCCATCAG